CTCTAAATGACCAAACCACCTCAACAACCCCTCTTCTGCCCTCTGACTAATACTTTTATTAACTCCACACCTTCTCCTAATTTCCACACTCCGAATTTTCTGCATAATATTTACACCACACATTGCCCTTAAACAGGACATCTCCAATGCCTCCAACCGTCTCCTCGCTGCTGCATTTACCACCCAAGCTTCACACCCCCGGGCCGCGGGGGCGTTGATCCCCGGAATAACCTCCAGGTAACCCATATAAGAGTGTTGGTACTACTATACTTTCATACATTCCCTTCTTTGCCTCCATAGATAACGTTTTTTGACTCCACATATACCTCAACGCACCACTCGCCTTTTTTCCCTCATCAATTCTATGATTAACCTCATCCTTGTGCATGAATTCAAGGAGTACATAGAGGCTGAAGGACTGAAACCTGAACAAGTGTTCAATTGTGACGAAACAGGCCTCTTTTTGAAGAAAATGCCAAAGAGGACCTACATTACTCAGGAGGAAAAGGCACTGCCAGGACACAAGCCTATGAAAGACAGGCTGACGCTCATGTTGTGTGCTAATGCTAGTGAAGATTTCAAAGTGAAGCCGTTACTAGTGTACCATTCTGAAAATCCCAGAGTGTTCAGGAAAAACAATGTTATGAAGAGTAAATTGTGTGTGTTTTGGAAATCTAATAGTAAGGCATGGGTCACGAGGGAAATTTTCATCGAGTGGTTCAATGAAGTGTTTGGCCCTAGTGTGAAGAATTACCTCCTGGAAAAGAAATTGGATCTCAAGTGCCTCCTAGTAATGGACAATGCACCTGCTCATCCTCCAAACTTGGATGACCTAATTTTCGAGGAGTTTGGGTTCATCACAGTAAAGTTCTTGCCCCCGAATACCACTCTTCTCCTCCAGTCCATGGACCAGCAGATCATTGCAAACTTTAAAAAACTCTACACCAAAGCAATGTTTCAAAGGTGCTTGAATGTGACCTCAGACACTCACTTGACCCTAAGAGATATTTGGAGAGAACACTTCAGCATCCTTCATTGCATAACCCTTATAGGTAAGGCTTGGGAGGGAGTGACTACCAGGACTTTGAACTCTGCTTGGAGAAAATTGTGGCCAGACTGTGTCGACAAGAGGGATTTTGAAGGGTTTGGGGCTGACCCTGATGAGCCTATGTCTGTTGTTAAATCTATTGTGGCACTGGGGAGTTCTATGGGGTTGGATGTGAGTTTGGAGGATGTGGAAGAGTTGGTGGAAGACCACAACAAAGAGCTCACCACTGAGGAGCTGCAAGAGCTTCAGCAGGAAGAGCAACAGATCACAGCTCAGAATCTTGCTGCAGAGGAGGAGGAACTGAGATGGATGGTGCCTTCTTCAGAAATTAAGGAGATTTTTGAAATGTGGGGTAAGATGGAAAGATTTATGGAGAAACATCACCCTGACAAGGCTGTTACAAGCCATGTTGGTAACATGTACAGTGACAAAGTCTTGGCCCATTTTAGGGAAGTGTTAAAGAGACACCAGAAACAGAGCTCTCTGGACAGTTATTTTGCGAGACAGGACTCCAGTGACTCTCAGGCTGGTCCTAGTGGCATTAAGAAACAGAGAAGAGAAGTAATCCCAGAAAAGCAATTGGTACCTGAGGTGTTGATGGAAGGGAATTCCCCTTCCAAACTGTAAATAATCCAATCTGTCTCCTCCTCCAGTCTTCCATACACTAAAGAATCGCAAATAAAGGTAAGTGTTATGCTGTTAATGTTTCATTCATCATGTCCCATTGTAATGTTTATGTACTACATCTATATTTCATGTAAATAATTTTTTAATCTGAAGTGGTGCCCCAGAGTCCAAGAAATTAAAAAAAAAAAAAAAAAAAAAAAAAAAAAAAAAAATCTTACAGAATTAAAGATAATATTTTTGTGAAGGTAAGGAAAAAAAAAAATTTCTGATCAGTACTTACCAAGATACAGCGGCGGGAAGTTGACCCAAAATGACCAGGTGGCGGCAACATCAATGACTTCCGCAAAATCCCATTTTTTTTATTTTACGTTTTTTATACTTTTTTCTTTTCTTTTCTAATAACATTTGTGGCCTGTGAGACCAATATAATGTATATTGTATAAGTGTACACTCATTGTATTCAACACAATAACTGCACTAATTTCTTTATCATTATATTGCTTACAAAACTTGTTTACAAGTTTATTGTAAACAAAATGATGAAAATATTAGTGCAGTTATTGTGTTGAATACAATGGTACCATATAGTACCATATGGTACAGGGTACCATATGGAACAGGGTACCATATGGCACAGGGTACCATATGGCACAGGGTACCATATGGCACAGGGTACCATATGGTACAGGGTACCATACAGTACAGGACACCATATGGTACAGATACAGGGATAACTATGGAAATATGTCACCCTGACTTTTTTGGGTTATCCTAGGATTTTATATGTATGCTGCTATGTATGATAATCTATGTAATTGTATTTCTGTACACCTGAATAAACTTACTCAAGTGCATGTGGCATCATAAGTAAATTTATTTAGTTATACACAAATAAAGTTACATAGAATATCATACTTAGCAGCATATGTTTGGAGAACCTAGGATAACCCAAAAAAGTCAGACAGACTTATTTCCATTAGGGTCCTTGTACCCTGTACCATATGGTATAATGTACCATATGGTACAATGTACTATATGGTACATTGTACCATATGGTACCATTGTACCATATGGTACCATTGTACCATATACCATTGTATGACATGGCACCATTGTACCATATGATACCATTGTATGACATGGCACCATTGTACCATATGGTACCATTGTACCATATGGCACAATGGTACCATATGGTTCAAAACCATAGAATTCCTCTTCAGCTCCACTTCCATCAGTCTTAGAACTGTAAGTTGTGAAGAGGAGAGTCAGAATTTGCCGGGAGAGTGAGTGGGGAGTGAGAGCTTCCTTGCCGCCAGGCATGATGAACAAAGCTACTTTGTCGGCGTTCCCACAATGCCATGTAGGCATCCAGATTTTTTCTATGGTGTGCAGACTGACCACCCAGACCCATTCTCTCAGATGTAGGCCTACCAGCCTTCTCACGCTAAATTTGACAGCGCTAGAATTTTGGTGCAGATCTACGGTTTGGCCCTGAACGTAAAGCCGTAGATCTACGGGATGGACCCTGAAAGGGTTAATACTTCTGGGTGTCAGGAACGGATTAATTGTAGTATTTACATTATTTCTTATGGGGAAAATTGATTCGAAAATCATAGATTTCAATAAAAGTAGCACCTCCAGGAACGGATTAAATACGATAAACGAGGGACCACTGTAGTACTGTCCTGCCAAGTGAGTGTAAAATGAAAGCCTGTAATTGTTTTACATGATGGTAGGATTGCTGGTGTCCTTTTTTCCGTTTCATAAACATGCAAGATTTCAGGTATGTCTTGCTACTTCTACTTACACTTAGGTCACACTGCACATACATGTACTACAAGCATATATATACACACCTCTCTGGGTTTTCTTCTATTTTCTTTCTAGTTCTTTTTCTTGTCTATTTCCTCTTATCTCCATGGGAAAATGGAACAGAATTCTTCCTCCATAAGTCATACGTGTCGTAAGAGGCGACTAAAATGCCAGGAGCAAGGGGCTAGTAACCCCTTCTCCTGTATATATTACTAAATTTAAAAGGCAAAACTTTTGTTTTTCCTTTTGGGCCACCCCACCTCAGTGAGATACAGCTGGTACATTGAAAGAAGAAAAGAAGAATGAATAACGAATAGCTAGAGAGCAGGTGGCAGGAAACAGTCATATCCAATGCTATGAGTGATATTTTGTGTTCTGAAGGTGACATGATTGTGCACTAAACTGTGAAGCAGCAGTGTTTGATCAAGTTAACCTTGTATGTAGCACTAGCAGTGTTCCATCAAGCTAACCTTGCATGTAGAATTAGCAGTGTTTTGCCAAGTTAACCTAGTATGTAGCATTAACAGTGTTCCATCAAGCTAACCTGTATGTAGCATTAGCTGTGTTCCATCAAGCTAACCTGTATGTAGCATTAGCAGTGTTCTATCAAGCTAAGCTAGTGTGTAGCATAAGCTGTGTTTCATCAAGTTAGCCTTGTATGTAGCATTAGCTGAGTTTCATCATGTTAGCCCTGCTAAATATACAAGACATACACTCTTATTATTGTGCCTACTACATACACAGAACTTTAAACTCCACTGTAAACTCTCTCCTAAAACTACTCCTCGACAGTTACAACAGAATGTACAGTCATAATACAAGGCATAAGGCACTTTTCAATATCCCTCGAGTAAAACTCTCACTATGCAAGAATGCTTTGCACATAAAAGGCCCAAAGATCTGGAACTCGCAACTGGAACAGGTAGGGGATCCTCAGACAACTTATAAATTTAGGACTCTGCCAAAAAATCATCTTATCTCACAATATTAACCAAATCAACCAAACATCTACTGACTCGTTTTATCATGTGACCTGGCTTTTAATTCTGCCATTCCATAAAATATTAACACCTGCACCATTTCTTGTAAATCAGATTTTGTACTAATTATATATAAGATTTATTAAGTCCAAATAAGATTGTAAAACAGCTAACCACTATTCTATGTTTAGTTTTAAGTATAATTACTATGTACTATTATCTTATCTAGTTTTATTTAGTTATTATGTATTAGGATTAGTTTGCCTGAAATGCCTCGGCATGATAGTGGCTATCTTTGTACATGTACTTAGCAAATCAAAATTGTAATTACACATTGTATCCTTTACAAAGAAATAAACTTATTATTATTATTATTTGCAGCATTAGCTGAGTTTCATCATGTTAGTCTTGTATGTAGCATTAGCTGTGTTCCATCAAGTTAGCCTTTTATGTAGCATTAGCTGTGTTCCATCAAGTTAGCCTTGTATGTAATAAGACAAAATATGCACATATTAAAATAGTGTACATACCTATAGTTATCATAAACCCAGAAGAGGATATCATACATTATCTCACGACATTTTGGAGCAGTATGATAAGTGAAGGCCACAACACTGGGCATGAAGTACAGCAGCTGCTCAGCACTAAGGCGATGCATTGATGCATTCACCAACTCCAGTGACACAAGCTGTGTGTCTTCTACTCTGAAAACCAAATTAATATTACACAAATTCTTAACAAAACCTTGAAACTCTAATCTCACAGAAGTCTTATGTTAATAATTTTATATACTGAGAATAAAAAGGCACAATACCATGACTGGAACAATACACAAATAACCCACACATAAGAGAATGAAACTTATGACGACATTTTGATCCATGTTAAACCATTAACTAGTCACTCAGTCCTGCCCGTCATATGTTTCATTCTCCTATGTGCGGGTTATTTGTGAACTTCATTTATTAACTTGAACTGCTAGTTAAGAAAACCTATGTCTATTAGCTTTAAATTTTTAATGAATCTTCAAATTATTTTTGTTTTTAGGTTAACTCATCAACCAATATAATATGCCTATTTAGTCAGTGTTGTTAAATTATTTAATTACCAAAAATTATTAAATTATCAGAGTAAATCTCACTTTCTTGATAAGAATTCTATAAGATTCTGTTCCTTAAGATGAGTGAAGACGTCTTCCATTGTAGACGCATGAGACACCAAACACTTCAAGATACGAGTACGTTGTAGTCCATAAAGCTTGGGCAACAGGTTGAGCAGTTTGTTAATAAACCTGAAAATATTAATAATGTGAAAAGCAGTGGGAAAAAGTAAATAGCTTGCCAAGTTTTCTGGCTACTTCTTTATGTATAATTAACACACTTCACTTTAATTAGAAAAACATTACTTCTGTTTCAAGGGTTCTGGGGTTCCCACCCAGGTAATATCCCACCATATGCATGTCAACTCACTCTTCTCTAGGCCCAGCGAAGTTCACAAGTGCATTTTCTGCTCAGCCTTCACTTCTGATTACAAGGTGATTTTTTTTTTTTCAACATGTCAACCATATCTCACTGAGGAAAGGTGACTCAAAAGAGAAACAATTTCACTATCATTTACATGTAATCACTGACTTTGCAGAGGCGCTCAGACATGACAGTTTAGATGTCACTCCAAACACCCAATATCCCATTGCATTTCCCACCTCCAGGACTCAAGTCCAGCTAATTCGTTTCCCTGAATCCCTTCACAAACTATTACCCTGCTCACACTCCAACAGCTTGTCAGGTCCCAAAACCATTTGTCTCCATTCACTCTTAACAAAATCCTCTGAGGCTTTTTTTTTTTGTACTGCTCCTGAACCCAGTTGTAGACCGAAGTACAACAGCTGGGGAAGGTGGGAGAAACTGTGCGTACCTTGATGCAGAATTGTCTTATGTCATGGTCAAAACACAGTACAAGTACTGAGTTTTATTATGTCCGATAAGTTTTACCACATTTCTGGCCTCTATATGTATTTGCATACTGTTTACAAACTGTCATCCACAGGCATGTTTTATTAAAAAAGTACTTCTTCTGTGTGGTACCCTTTGTTTTTATTACACCTAGGAAGAGTCTTAAGTCTAGGAAAGCACTGCTCAAGTTGTGGAAGTGTGTGTACTGTAAAATGTACGAATATCTTGTACAGTGGACTCCTGAGTTTCGTCATTAATACATTCCAGAGCGTCTGCTGAATGACGAAATTCACGACTGGCAAAATCATTTTCCCCATAAGAAATAATGGAAATCCAATTAATCTGTTTCAGATACCCAAAAGTATTAACATAAAATATATTTTTTAAAGATTAAATATAGATTTACATACAGAAAACAATGACAAATGAATATAAAGCACTAATAAAGTGGATAAATGAACATTTAACATCACACTTACCTTTATTGAAGACTCTTGTTGGTGTATGGCAGACAGGTAGGCAAGAGAGAGAGAGGAGAGAGGGAGACGAGTTGTTTCAATATGACGCTAATATCATCTCTACAGCTTATTTATCTATCACAATTCATCTAATATGACATAAAAAACAACATTAATAACATACACTCTAGAATGAATAAGACATAATAAATAACATATACCTAGGTAGTAGGTTGGTAAACAGCAACCGCCCAGGGAGGTACTACCGTCCTGCCAAGTGAGTGTACAACGAAAACCTGTAATTGTTTTACATGATGGTAGGATTGCTGGTGTCTTTTGTCTGTCTCATAAACATGCAAAATTTCAGGTATGTCTTGCTACTTCTACTTGCACTTAGACCACAATACACATACATGTTCAAGCATATACATATATACACACCCCTCTGGGTATTCTTCTATTTTCTTTCTAGTTCTTGTTCTTGTTTATTTCCTCTTATCTCCATGGGGAAGTGGAACAGAACTCTTCCTCCGTAAGCCATGCGTGTTGAAAGAGGCGACTAAAATGCCGGGAGCAAGGGACTAGTAACCCCTTCTCCCGTATAAATTACTAAATTTAAAAGAGAAACTTTCGTTTTTCTTTTTGGGCCACCCTGCCTCGGTGGGAAATGGCCGGTGTGTTGAAAGAAAGAAGAAATAACATATACACTAGAATGAATAAAATATGTTAAAAAATATTTTTTTTTTTTATTTTTTATTAACACACTGGCCAATTCCCACCAAAGCAGGGTGGCCTAAAAAAGAAAAACTTTCACCATCATTCACTCCATCACTGTCTTGCCAGAAGGGTGCTTTACACTACAGTTTTTAAACTGCAACATTAACACCCCTCCTTCAGAGTGCAGGCACTGTACTTCCCATCTCAAGTCTGGCCTGCCGGTTTCCCTGAATCCCTTCATAAATGTTACTTTGCTAACACTCCAACAGCACGTCAAGTATTAAAAACAATTTGTCTCCATTCATTCCTATCAAACACACTCACGCATGCCCGCTGGAAGTCCAAGCCCCTCGCACACAGAACCTCCCTTACCCCCTCCCTCCAACCTTTCCTAGGCCGACCCCTACCCCGCCTTCCTTCCACTACAGACTGATACACTCTTGAAGTCATTCTGTTTCGCTCCAGTCTCTCTACATGTCCAAACCACCTCAACAACCCTTCCTCAGCCCTCTGGACAACAGTTTTGGCAATCACGCGCCTTCTCCTAACTTCCAAACTACGAATTCTCTGCATTATATTCACACCACACATTGCCCTCAGACATGACATCTCCACTGCCTCCAGTCTTCTCCTCGCTGCAACATTCATCACCCATGCTGCACACCCATATAAGAGCGTTGGTAAAACTATACTCTCATACATTCCCTTCTTTGCCTCCAAGGACAAAGTTCTTGGTCTTCACAGACTCCTACGTGCACCGCTCACCCTTTTCCCCTCATCAATTCTATGATTCAACTTATCTTTTATAGACCCATCTGCTGACACGTCCACTACCAAATATCTGAATACATTCACCTCCTTCATACTCTCTCCCTCCAGTCTGATATCCAATCTTTCATCACCTAATCTTTTTGTTATCCTCATAACCTTACTCTTTCTTGTCTTCACTTACAATTTTCTTCTTTTACATACCCTACCAAATTCATCCACCAACCTCTGCAACTTCTCTTCAGAATCACCCAAGAGCACAGTGTCATCAGCAAAGAGCAACTGTGACAACTCCCACTTTATGTGTGATTCTTTATCTTTGAACTCCACACCTCTTGCCAAGACCCTCGCATTTACTTCTCTTACTACCCCATCTATAAATATATTGAACAACCACGGTGACATCACACATCCTTGTCTAAGGCCTACTTTTACTGGGAAATAATCTCCCGCTTTCCTACATACTCTAACTTGAGCCTCACTAACCTCGTAAAAGCTCTTCACTGCTTTCAGTAACCTACCTCCTATACCATACACTTGCAACATCTGCCACATTGCCCCCCTATCCACCCTGTCATATGCCTTTTCCAAATCCATAAATGCCACAAAAACCTCTCTAGCCTTATCTAAATACTGTTCACTTATATGTTTCACTGTAAACACCTGGTCCACACACCCCCTACCTTTCCTAAAGCCTCCTTGTTCATCTGCTATCCTATTCTCCATCTTACTCTTAATTCTTTCAATAATAACTCTACCATACACTTTACCAGGTATACTCAAAAGACTTCTTTCTTTCTTTCAACACACCGGCCGTATCCCACCGAGGCGGGGTGGCCCAAAAGGAAAAACAAAAGTTTCTCCTTTTACATTTAGTAATATATACAGGAGAAGGGGTTACTAGCCCCTTGCTCCCGGCATTTTAGTCGCCTCTTGCAACACGCATGGCTTACGAAGGAAGAATTCTGTTCCACTTCCCCATGAAGGTAAGAGGAAATAAACAAGAACAAGGACTAGTAAGAAAATAGAAGAAAACCCAGAGGGGTGTGTGTATATATATGCTTGTACATGTATGTGTAGTGTGACCTAAGTGTAAGTAGAAGTAGCAAGATGTACCTGAAACCTTGCATGTTTATGAGACAGAAAAATGGACACCAGCAATCCTACCATCATGTAAAACAATTACAGGCTTTCGTTTTACACTCACTTGGCAGGACGGTAGTACCTCCCTGGGCAGTTGCTGACTACCAACCTACTACCTAGTCAAAAGACTTATCCCCCTATAATTTTTGCACTCTCTTTTGTCCCCTTTGCCTTTATACAAAGGAACTATGCATGCTCTCTGCCATTCCCTAGGTACCTTATTCTCTTCCATACATTTATTAAATAATAGCACCAATAACTCCAAAACTATATCCCAACCTGCTTTTAACATTTCTATCTTTATCCCATCAATCCCAGCTGCCTTACCCACTTTCATTTTACCTACTGCCTCACGAACTTCCCCCCCACTCACAACTGGTTCTTCCTCACTCCTACAAGATGTTATTCCTCCTTGCCCTATACACGAAATCACAGCTTCCCTATCTTCATCAACATTCAACAATTCCTCAAAATATTCCCTCCATCTTCCCAATACCTCTAACTGTCCATTTAATAACTCTCCTCTCCTATTTTTAACTGACAAATCCATTTGTTCTCTAGGCTTCCTTAACTTGTTAATCTCACTCCAAAACTTTTTCTTATTTTCAACAAAATTTGTTGATAACATCTCACCCACTCTCTCATTTGCTCTCTTTTTACATTGCTTCACCACTCTCTTAACCTCTCTCTTTTTCTCCATATACTCTTCCCTCCTTGCATCACTTCTACTTTGTAAAAATTTCTAATATGCTAACTTTTTCTTCCTTACTATTCTCTTTACATCATCATTCCACCAATCGCTCCTCTTCCCTCCCACACCCACTTTCCTGTAACCACAAACTTCTGCTGAACACTCTAACACTACATTTTTAAGCGTACCCCATACCTCTTCAACCCCATTGCCTATGCTCTCATTAGCCCATCTATCCTCCAATAGTTGTTTATATCTTACCCTAACTGCCTCCTCTTTTAGTTTATAAACCTTCACCTCTCTCTTACCTGATGCTTCTATTCTCCTTGTATCCCATCTACCTTTTACTCTCAGTGTAGCTACAACTAAAAAGTGATCTGATATATCTGTGGCCCCTCTATAAACATGTACATCCTGAAGTCTACTCAACAGTCTTTTATCTACCAATACATAATCCAACAAACTACTGTCATTTCGCCCTACATCATATCTTGTATACTTATTTATCCTCTTTTTCTTAAAATATGTATTACCTATAATTAAATCCCTTTCTATACAAAGTTCAATCAAAGGGCTCCCATTATCATTTACACCTGGCACCCCAAACTTACCTACCACACCATCTCTAAAAGTTTCTCCTACTTTAGCATTCAGGTCCCCTACCACAATTACTCTCTTATAACATATGTAAGGAATAATTGTTGGTGGAGATGTTGTTGGGTTTATAAGGACCACTAAGAGAAGCCGTACAAATTAGTGGTAGTGGAGGTGGCATCAGAAGCCGCCAACACTATTCACACTGAAACAATATACGTAATTTATAAATAAGAAATATTTACACTTACCTTGGAGGAGATGTTAGTTTAATTAGTTTGATGGAGGAGATGCTGGCAGAGGTTTAGGGCTCTGGAAGATAGCAGAGTGGCGTATGTTCAGTGGCCCTATACACCTCCACATATCGTTTTTCTATCAGTGAATTGCTTAACTTACTTGCTATACTGTTAATGCTACACTTTATCGCTGGCTGGTGCTAAAGCCTTTATCGATACCTGCTGCTTTAGTATCGTACATATCGCAGAATCACTTAATCACTGAAGAAGGCACATTCTCCTCTCTCTCTTCCTCCTCCACTTTGGTACTATGCTACAAGTTTTTTCTTGAATGCTATCATATTTCTTTCCTTTTATGAAAGGCCAAGCGCTAGGAGCTTTCTCTGGGCCCATGGTGGCTTATTTAGCAGTTGCAAGCACAAAAAACAATGGATTATTATGAAATGTATCGTATGAACCTGTGGGGTGATAAACAATGGCACACTGAATGTGTGCCATTCAGTGTGCCACTTATAAACAATGGCACACTAAATGTGAACGGTGTGGGAGACTGAGTTTGTGTGTGCGCTGACGCTGGGATGCCGCTCTAACGTGTAGTTACTAAAACTATTAGTCAGAGGGCTGAAGAGGGGTTGTTGAGGTGGTTTGGTCATTTAGAGAGAATGGATGAAAATAGAATGACTTGGAGAGTGTATAAATCTATTGGGAAACTAAGGCAGAGTAGGGGTCATCCCTGAGAAGGTTGGAGGGAGGGGGTAAAGGAGGTTTTGTGGGCAAGAGGCATGAACTTCCAGCAAGTGTGCGTGAGTGTGTTAGATAGGAGTGAACAGAGATGAATGGTTTTTGGGACCCGATGAGCTGTTGGAGTGTGAGCAGGGTAATATTTTGTGAAGAGATTCAGGGAAACCAGTCAGCCGGACTTGAGTCCTGGAAATGAGAAGTACAATGCCTGCACTTTAACCCTTTCAGGGTCCAAGGCCCAAATCTGGAGTCACGCACCAGTGTCCAAGAATTTTCAAAAAAAAAATTTGTTATTTTTTCTTATGAAATCGTAGAGAATCTTTTTGTGAAGGTAATAAAACAAAAAGTACGAAATTTGGTGGAAAATTGACGAAATTATGCCCTCGCGAATTTTGATGTGTCAGCGATATTTACGAATCGGCGATTTTGCCGACTTTGACTCCGATTTTAGGCCAATTACATTACTCCAATCAACCAAATTCTTAGCTATTTCACTAGTATTACTTCTATTCTATCGACTGAGCACAAGAAATCGCCAAGTCAACTGTTTCAACTACAAAATAAAGTGATCGGAAATTGTTAATTTGGCCAATTTAACACAAAGTTCAAAATATTCCAATTTCAAAATAGGGTCCAGAATGAACAATGTAGGCATTCCTGGCACTAAACTAACATTTCCTCTGTTCATTAGTTATGTTTTGAGGCTTTACAAATAAATTCCATTTTGATTTTTTATTCACATAATGAATTTTTATTCACACCAAAAAATAGAAGATTTACTGTTATGCAATACTGTAATAATTGTATAAAAATCATCACCATATTTGTGAATGTATATTAGACCCACCAGCTGACGTGTATTAGACGTGTGAGGTCGTTTGTTTACTCCTGAATATCGGCAAAAATTTAACTTTTGCACTACTTTGAGCTCAGTTTCAAGCCATTTCCAATGCTAAAACCAATCAAAATCATCTCTATTTCTGTAATATGTCTTCCATTCTATCAAATGAGACCAAGAAATCGCAAATACAACTATAAAAAACATACGAAAAAACACTGCGAAGTTGCTGTTTTAATCGAAAAATCATGATTTCATTTTTTTTTCTCTCATTATACACAGTGTGCTGCAGGATCTGTTTTATGTGGTGCACACATACCACATAGATGTCTTCTCTCATATCTAGGCCCAAATGTACCACTCACAGTTTATCAGAGTGAGCTGAGCTCATGGCGTAGATCTACGGTTTGGACCCTGAACGTAAAGCCGTAGATCTACGGGACGGACCCTGAAAGGGTTAAAGGAGGGGTTTAGGATATTAGGAGTTTAGAGGGACTTCTAAACTGTTGTATCTGAGCACCTCTGCAAAGACAGTGATTATGTATGAGTGATGGTGAAAGTGTTGAATGATTATTGAAGTTTTTTCTTTCTTTATGGGTTATTCTTTCTTTCTGGGTCACCCTGTCTTGGTGGGAAAAGGCCTATGTGTTAAAAAAAAAAATTACCAAGATAAAAGGCATATGATGGCAACATTGAGTCCTGCCACTTGCAGAAATGTGGTAAATATACCTTTTTTTTTTTTCTCTTTTTTTTTTAATTTATATAGTTTTTATATTCTCATAGTAGAACTTGTGACTTTACAGGAAACCACTGTTCTGTCACAAATATTACGTACAGATATCGATATCAAACAATCAGAAACACATGGACAGGAGAACATGTTCACCTGCCCTGGTCACATAGTACTGCCTAAAAAAATAGAAAATTTATTTATAGGTCCCAGCATATGTTTTTAGAAGTGCTGGAGTATATGAAACTCCTTGAAGCACAGTGTCAGAGAGTGGCACTTTACACTACTGATGGTGCACTGCACCATCAGGACTGTCCCTAGCTGACTTACTCTTGGCAGGCTCTGCACATACAAAACTGGTGATTCAAACAACTGAAGTGTTACTGCTGAGAACAAGTATATAAAGAGCACTGCAGTTTTGATTAAAATTGGCGGGTTGTTTAATGAATGGGAAGATAAAATTTAAATTACCAGTATAGAATATGACACTGTAATTGGTGGTCTCTCTCTGAGACACAAGCATCTATGACTCCCAAGGTGATGAACAATTTGTATACAAAAAATATCTATAGTGTGCTCACATTTTAGCTCTGATGATGGAGAGGACATGAAAACACTGTCTTGATTGATTTACTTATATCAGTGAGTACTGAAAATATACTTCATATTATACGTGGAGTCATGCAAAAATCACTATCTACCTGTGTTAATATACCCTCTCCCTGGACTTACAGCCAGTACTATACAGTAATTAGTTGTAGAGTAGCAGGTAAAGCACCTACCTGCTTATAATTTGTGGGTAATGCTGATGAATATTGTAAATGCATGTAATGGCTTGATTTTGCTGCTGGTAAGAATGTTTCATTATTTTATTCACAACTTTGTCTTCCAGTGAAGTGTCACCTTTACCTGAAGAATGAGAGAAAATTAATTTCATACACACACTTGATGTTTCCCACCAAGGTAGAATTACCTACAGAGGATAACATTCACCACCACCACTCACCCCCCAAGCTGTTGTTCAGAAGTGCTTGGACACATCAAATCAAATGAATCTGAACCATGAGAGGAAATTAAATACGTATATAAAATGATAACTATGTTTGACAAGTGCAATATTTTGCAAATTACTGTCATTACCAAAGTACATACAGTAGATCATTGATCATTCAGTGCTGTTGGGGAAGTGAGGAGAAATTGACAACTAACAAAGTCACATTCAGAATTGATTAGGTCTTCTACACAGTGCTTTGGAAATGTATGTCAGTGGTATACAACACTGGCAAGAAAGAAGAATTAGACATTTGCAACATCTGGGTATCTTGTAGATGCTTCACCATCCAGTGGCTTAATAAATACATGGATATAACCTGATGACTGTAGAATATATACAGAAAACTTTGAAAGATGAGGAAATCAGTCCCTTAGTCTAAGAGCAGGTGAAGAGCACTGTAGTCTTCAAGACTACTGTGCTCATCACCTGGCTTGGGAGACATTTCAGAATAAAGATTCTCAAGTGTTGTACAAGTGTCTTAATTATCATCTTATGGGTTTTCTAAACCAATCTTACATACTGTGTCAGACACAGCGACATCTTGGTCTCTTGATGCAGAGAATTCTTCAAAGCTTGCCTAACCTACAGGCATGATCTACTTCCACTAGTGACTCCATCTGCCACTGTTCCACATCATCTGTCTGCAGTATATAAGCTCCATCTCTGTGAATATAATGCACTTTTACCAACACTGATGGAGTGAGCACACTGACTCCAGGCTGAGGGACTGATTACATCAAATTACTTCTAATTTTCTCCCATTTCTCTGCACTGGACTGAAGAAGCCACTAGATGGCAAAACGTTTCAAGAATAAAGATTCCCAAATGTTGCACAAGTGTTTTATTTATCATCTTGGTTTTCTAAACTGCTCATTCCAAATTTCACAGAAAATCACTGATGACATAATTATGTAGAAAAGTATTATTTTTTGAAAACTTAGAATAGTTAAAAATATTTGTTTTGGATTTTTGAAGGTCTGAGGGAAGCAAGCCTATTTTTCCCAAGTGATTTTCACTCCACAAGTCACAGAAATCATTGGTAGTGGATTTTTAAGAATGTAATCTGCACAAATTGTGAAAGTCTATACAGTGGACCCCCGCTTAACGATCACCTCCCAATGCGACCAATTATGTAAGTGTATTTATGTAAGTGCGTTTGTACGTGTATGTTTGGGGGTCTGAAATGGACTAATCTACTTCACAATATTCCTTATGGGAACAAATTCGGTCAGTACTGGCACCTGAACATACTTCTGGAATGAAAAAATATCGTTAACCGGGGGACCACTGTATAAGGATTTGTTACTTAAAATAATCATAGCATTTAACCCCTTGATTGTCGAAACCCCAAATCCTGAAGTGTCTCCCAGTGTCGAAAAATATTAACCCGTAAACGGTCCAAATGTATATATATGTTTTTTCAACATTTGAAAGTATGTAAAAAAAAATAGATCTTTTTTTTGTTATATTTGAAAATGTGTAAAAAAAACGTAGATCTACTTTTGTAGCACTACACATGTGAACGTAGATCTGCTTGGACCATTCACGGGTCAACCCTTTGACTGTTTACGCCGTATAAATACACGTCTTACGTGCCACTGTTTCTGACATATCTACACGCATAAATTCTAGCGGCTTCAAATCAAGCAGGAGAAAGCTGGTAGGCCCACATGTGAGGGAATGGGTCTCCATGGTCAGTGTGCACCATATAACAAAAATCGGGGAGCCAGTGGTGCATTGTGGGAATGCCATTTCCCTTGTCCTTTTTCAGCATGCATAGCGGTAAGAAATATGTGATTCCCCAGCAAATCTGGGACTCTTCTCTTCCTAAGAGATGCTCTCACACAGATGGAAGTGTCAGTGAAGATCAATTTCATGGTTTTGAGGAGTTTGAGACCAAAAGCAATGCCCAGGATACCAGAAGAATGGAGTAGGAGGAGGAGGAGGAGGAGGAGGAGGAGGAGAAGGAGGGAGGGAGGGAGGGAGGGAGGAGGAGGGAGGGAGGAGGAGGAGGGAGGGACGAGAAGGGGAGGGAGGAGGGGGAGGGAGGAGGAGGGAGGGAGGAGGAGGAGGAGGAAGAGGAGGGAGGAGGAGGGAGGAGGAGGGAGGAGGAGGAGGGAGGAGGAGGGGAGGAGGAGAAGGGAGAGGAGGAGGGAGGAGGGAAGAGGAGGAGGAGGGAGGAGGAGGAGGGAGGAGGAGGAGGAGGGAGGAGGAGGGAGGAGGAGGGAGAGGAGGGGAGGAGGAGGAGGGAGGAGGAGGAGGAGGAGGGAGGAGGAGGAGGGAGGAGGAGGAGGAGGGAGGAGAGGAGGGAGGAGGAGTAGGGAGGAGGAGTAGGGAGGGAGGAGGGAGAAGGAAGGAGGAGGAGGAGGAGGGAGGGAGGAGGAGAGAGGAGGGAGGAGGAGGAGGAGGAGGAGGAGGGAGGAGGAGGAGGGAGAGGAGGAGGAGAGGAGGAGGAGGAGGAGGAGGGAGGAGGAGGAGGGAGAGGAGGGAGGAGGAGGGAGGAGGAGGGGAGGAGGGAGGAGGAGGGAGGAGGAGGAGGAGGGGAGGAGGAGGAGGAGGAGGAGGAGGGAGGGGAGGAGGGAGGAGGAGGAGGGAGGAGAGGGAGGAGGAGGAGGAGGAGGGAAGGAGAGAGGAGGAGGAGAGGAGGAAGAGCGAGGAGGGAGGAGGAGAGGAGGAGGAGGAGAGGAGGTGAGGAGGAGGAAGAGGATGAGGAGGAGAGGAGAGGATGGAGGAGAGAAGAGGAGGAGGAAGAGGAGGAGAGAGGAGGTGAGGAGAAGAGAGAGGATAGGAGGAAGAGGAGAGGAGGAGGGAGGAAGAGAGAAGAGGAAGAGGAGGAGAGGAAGAGGAGGTGAGGAGATACAAACACAACTGCTGTAGAACTGTTCAGAGAAATGCGACAGACGAGGTGTGTTGTCATTTGCACATAAAAAAAAAAAAGACAAAAATGCAACAATGTGTTATGTTGAGGAGTGTAAAACACTGTGTAGACCATGTTTCACAGAGTTCCACAAGCTGCAATACTTTAGAATATGTTCGTGACTGTACTTGTTATATAATATTAAAACAATAGTAATAAAAAATTTTTGCATTGTTTGTTTTTGTAAACAGTTTTGTAAACAATATATTGATAAATGTTGTGAGCTTATTGTGTTGATACACGAGTGTTATATGTACTTGTACCCTTTGGTCTCATAGGCCACATAAGTTATGGAACAAAAATAAAATTGAAAAAAACAAAAACTTCAAATAAAGTAAACCAAATTTCGATAGAGATTTGTTTGTAGCGGTTCATTTTTGCAATTCACTCTCTAATCTCGTAAGTACTGAGCAAAATTTTTTTTTTTTTGGCTAAACACTCAAAAATAATCTTAACATTTTCATAAGAATTTTTTTTTTTTTCGAATATTTTGCGATATAGAATGACAGTTTCAGAATGGGGCCTGTGACAGTCAAAGGGTTAAAAAGAGAAACTTTTGTTTTTCTTTTTGGGCCACCCTGCCTCAGTGGGATACGGCTGGATTAAAGTAAAGGTTGGATGCGAGAAGTGGGTCATAATAATAAGCGTGTATGCACCTGGAGAAGAGAGGAATGCAGAGGAGAGAGAGAGATTTTGGGAGATGTTAAGTGAATGTATAGGAGCCTTTGAACCAAGTGAGAGAGTAATTGTGGTAGGGGACCTGAATGCTAAAGTAGGAGAAACTTTTAGAGAGGGTGTGGTAGGTAAGTTTGGGGTGCCAGGTGTAAATGATAATGGGAGCCCTTTGATTGAACTTTGTATAGAAAGGGGCTTAGTTATAGGTAATACATATTTTAAGAAAAAGAGGATAAATAAGTATACAAGATATGATGTAGGGCGAAATGACAGTAGTTTGTTGGATTATGTATTGGTAGATAAAAGACTGTTGAGTAGACTTCAGGATGTACATGTTTATAGAGGGGCCACAGATATATCAGATCACTTTCTAGTTGTAGCTACACTGAGAGTAAAAGGTAGATGGGATACAAGGAGAATAAAAGCATCAGGGAAGAGAGAGGTGAAGGTTTATAAACTAAAACAGGAGGCAGTTAGGGTAAGATATAAACAGCTATTGGAGGATAGACGGGCTAATGAGAGCATAGGCAATGGGGTCGAAGAGGTATGGGGTAGTTTTAAAAATGTAGTGTTAGAGTGTTCAGCAGAAGTTTGTGGTTACAGGAAAGTGGGTGCGGGAGGGAAGAGGAGCGATTGGTGGAATGATGATGTGAAGAGAGTAGTAAGGGAGAAAAAGTTAGCATATGAGAAGTTTTTACAAAGAAGTGATGCAAGGAGGGAAGAGTATATGGAGAAAAAGAGAGAGGTTAAGAGAGTGGTGAAGCAATGTAAAAAAGAGAGCAAATGAGAGAGTGGGTGAGGTGTTATCAACAAATTTTGTTGAAAATAAGAAAAAGTTTTGGAGTGAGATTAACAAGTTAGAAAGCCTAGAGAACAAATGGATTTGTCATTTAAAAATAGGAGAGGAGAGTTATTAAATGGAGAGTTAGAGGTATTGGGAAGATGGAGAGAATATTTTGAGGAATTGTTAAATGTTGATGAAGATAGGGAAGCTGTGATTTCCTGTATAGGGCAAGAAGGAACAACATCTTGTAGGAGTGAGAGAGAGCCAGTTGTGAGTGTGGGGGAAGTTCGTGAGGCAGTAGGTAAAATGAAAGGGGGTAAGGCAGCCGGGATTGATGGGATAAAGATAGAAATGTTAAAAGCAGGTGGGGATATAGTTTTGGAGTGGTTGGTGCAATTATTTAATAAATGTATGGAAGAGGGTAAGGTACCTAGGGATTGGCAGAGAGCATGCATAGTTCCTTTGTATAAAGGCAAAGG